GTAAAAAAAACGGGGATTTCGTAAAAAATAAACCCAAAACGTGAAAAAACGCATGTTATGCTAAACCCGCTAATCATGGTAACTTATAGGACTGTGCTTCTCACCTGTTGCTTGTTGGGGGAGGGGGCGACGGGGGTGGGGCGACCACCTTTTTTAAATTGAGCGATGAAATGGGAAGCAAGAACGACTCTATCGTACCTTTTGTAGACCAACCTTGAGTGTCATTTTTGTTGAGTGGAGCACTTTTTCCGGCGAAAGTTCGTGTCAGCAGCGTATCCAGCATTTGATGTGTGTGTGTGGGGGGGGGGGGGGGGGGCGCGACCGCACATCCGCAAACATATATTTAATTCATTGCTGACCAAAAAAAAATGTCAACAAAAATCTGCCGGCCCCCCCCCCCCTTGATACGCCACTGGTTCGTGTTCTAGTTCACACGCACGGGAAGTTGGTTTTGCGCGTTTCTTTCCAAATCGTCAAGCGGTAAAAAACAAACGTGAAACAGCCATAAAATTTGTAGTTTTGATGGTCTTGCTTAAGTGAAAACAGACTATAGGACGAATCTTAGTTCTGATCGATTTTAGAGCGGGGACTCCGCGTCTTGAGTCATCAAATGAGTCGCAAGATAAGACACGTTTTGTGAAATCGGCCCCAGGTGATGCGTGGAGTATTCTATTTTCCCTCAGCTTCGCCAGGGAAAATAGAACGCTCCACGGTTACCTGCGTAGTTTAACTTAACTATTTGCGCCCCCCCCCCGCCTCGAACTGATAATAGCTGTCATTGGATGGATTTTATTTAGCCTATATGACCAGGGGCATAGGCGTGACGAGAGACAAGTGGGCATTCCACCACCCCACCCCATCACCCATGGAAATGACAACTTCACAACCACTTCTAGTATTAGAGTTGATGGACACCATTTGCAAACATTCAAAAATAAAAATGTCAAAATATCAAGAAATATCCCACTTGATTATTAGTTAATAATAGGATTCTGCGTCCATTGAAGTCAATACGCAGTGTGCTGTCATTTTGAGCGCAAGAGGAATTCCCCTCATTTCCTTGCGATGATTTGGACCGAACCATCGCGCTGACAACGGAAAACTATGCTTTGAGTAGAGAAAAATAAAGATGAAGTATCAGGTTAGTGTTTTCACAACCTGCTGCAGATTGTTTGTTTTGTTGTCATTAAATCGGCGAATGCACTTTTTTGCAAATGCTGTCCTGTAGTTGTAAGACCAAAAATATCACTCAGTTATGTCCGCTTCGAAGAGCGCCCTCATTAGTCAGATGGTATCAACCTCCACATTTTGAATTTACCGCAGCTGGGTGGCGATATATTTTCCCAAATCACACAGTCGCTACTATATTACATGCCAAAATATGGTGTTCAAAACTACCATCTCGATCAAGTCACTGATCACAAATCCAATGGTGTGAGTTCGATTCCCATTGGATGCTTCTTTTTGTTTTATTTCTTCTTCTTTACTCCTTTCATTTTTTAGTAAAAAGGGTTTGTTAGTCATTTTGGAACATTTTTCTTTTACCGATTTGTGTTTTGGAGGATTTGTTCAGGCAGACTAAAGTCCCATAAAGTGACTAGCACCTCAAAGTACACGCCCATAGCAAATTGGTATGGAATTCAAATCGCGGCCAGGTCACCGTACAAAACCCTTGCAAGGGGTGGTCTGTTGGCAAATTTTGCCCACCAGTGAACTAGTAACTCTGACCCCCTTCAGAACAAATAATAAAACCTGGTGACGCCCAGCATCCGGGGTCAACTGTTGGGCTTTCATTTGTCATTTGAGTTACCAAGTTGCCAGGGTCAATATCATTATTTATATTTCGCCAACTCCGGAGAGACTCACCCTGTAGATTGTTTCTCGTATTGCAATCTGATCCACCCTTAGAAGCTAATAGAACATACCTCATTAGCATAACAAAAGGCCCTTCCCCGGCGTGGTAGTGAAGCTGCGTTCTCCCAGGGTATCTGTGTCTTTGTTTTTTTTGTGTCGCAGTCTATCCACACGCTTTTATCTTACTCGCGTTCTAAACGACAACTTTCCGTGATAGATTACAAGGATTTACTCCATCATGCCGAAGTCTCGTCAGAGTTTTCCTTCAGCTCCGTGCACGGTGTCTCGACCCCCTGACGATGAGAAACCCCCTTCGCCTGCAGAAGACATCTTAGCTATGGCAGCTAGAGAAATTTCCCCGTCGGGGGTAAATTTGGCGGACCAAGCCAAGGCTCCTCAGTGGGCTGACGGCTTTTCGGGCGGCGGGTCTCCATGCCCAAAGCCCCCTGCAAGTGTAACAGATCCGCGGCCTAGTACGTCAGCTCCGTCTGGTACTGGCCCTGGTGCGCCACGCCCACCGACTACAGCTCAACCGCACTTTCCACAGTTCCCCGCTCAGTCGGGCTACTGGTACCCTCAGCCACCATCAGCTCCCTGGGGAACCCCTGGTGGCCCTGGCCCATCAACGATGCCTGCTGGTTTATTCAATCAGTGGGGCATCCCTGTCCAGTATTTTCCGCAGCCGATTTACAGCGGTCTCTCGGAGCATCCTCCCGCTAGCGCTCCAACTCTGACGGCCCCTGGCTCACATGCACAGCGCCCTCCTGCTGCTGCGGCTGATGACGGCGGCCATCTTGAAATAGTCAACGTTAGTGACGACGAGTCTGAGTCCTCCTTTTCCGCAGTTTCTACTGCCGGTAGAGAGCCCTTTCGCCTTCCTCACAAGAAAGACACAGGTATAAATCCTATCTCAGAGAAGGTGATTTCATGGTGGGAGGAACTGAGAACCCACAAGTTGTCCTCCGACGATTATAAAGAGGAAATTTCACCGTACAACGTCCCGTCGGGCCAGGGAAAATTCTTTTCCGCCCCGGAACTTCCGTCTGGTTTGAAGAAGGTGTTCAAACAGGTAAATTCCTCAACCATTAACAGTGATGAGAAGTTAAGAGCTTCCCATACTCATATCCTCGAGGCAGTCAAACCCTTGCTACGCCTTTTTGACGCAGTTACAGATGATGAGTGCCCCAATGAAGTTCCTAAAGAACTCGTCCAGGATCATCTTTCGTCGGCCATTATTTTACTCGGCTCTGGCAGTCAAGGGCTCGCCTTGGCGAGACAACATGCATTTGATGACATTGTCGACCGCAAATTTGATGTCCTCAAGAAGAACCCTCCTTCGTTAGGTGAACTCTTCGGATCATCCTTGTTGAAAGACATTGAGGAGACAGAAAAGGTCAACAAATTGGCCTCCAAAGTCACGGGCACAGGCGGAAAATCTCAGCAGTCTAACCCTTCTAAGGATAGACGTTTCACGCCTTATCAACTGGCCTCCAGGTCGTTCAGAGGGCGTCGCCCATCACGGGGTGCCTACAATCGCTTCCCAGGTAGGAATTACCAACAGTTCAAGGATTTCCCAAGATCGCGAAATCCCAAGACGGCCTACGCCACTACAGATAAGTCTAGTTCAAAAAACTAGATGCCCAGCTGTTTATGCCCATCACTGGTGCCTCTCCAGCATTTTCTGTACCCCCTGCTGGTCGTTTGAAATATTTTTCTCACAACTGGTTGAAGTTGACTCATGACCCTTGGGTTCTTCAAGCCGTGGATGGTTACTGTATCAGTTTCACATCTACGCCGGTTCAGTCTTTTGTTCCTGTGACCCGGGCTCAGTCCGAGGAACACGCTTCAATTTTTAACCTCGAGATACAGAAGATGCTCGATAAAGGTGCAGTTTCAGAAGTTCAACCCGTTCAGGGACAATTTATTTCTACTTTGTTCATGGTTCCTAAGTCTTCTGGGGATCTCCGTCCAGTGATTAATTTAAGACCTTTGAATAGGTTTATCTCGTACCATCATTTCAAGATGGAAAACATTTCTTCAGTGAAAGATCTCTTAGTGCAGGGGGATTGGATGTGTAAAATAGACCTGAAGGATGCTTATTTTTCAGTTCCTATTAATTCTGAGCATAGGAAATATCTCCGTTTTTTCTGGAACAAGGTCATTTATGAGTTTACTTGTCTTCCTTTCGGATTGTGTAGTGCGCCCCGAACCTTTACTAAGATACTTAAACCACTTGCCTTCCACCTCAGACAACGTGGTATTCGTTGTATTTTTTACCTGGATGATATCCTTATCCTCGAGTCTTCCTACGAGGGATGTGTGACAAATACTCAAGTGGCAACCAGTCTCCTTCAAGATTTGGGTTTCATTATCAACATAGAGAAATCCATTCTTGTCCCTACTCAGAATTTAACATACCTTGGTTTTCTTATCGACTCTTCATCCATGACTCTCTCTCTGAACCAGGAGAAGATCGTAAAGATAATCAGCCACTGCCAAGAGATTTTGGAGGCGCAAACTGTCACAGTTCGACAACTCTCAAGCCTCATCGGCAGGTTATCGTCCACAATTCTGGCAGTTTTTCAAGCCCAGATCTTCTACCGCAGTCTTCAGGAGGACAAAATCTCCGCCCTCCACAGGGAGAACAGTTACGAATCAGCTGTCACCCTTTCACAAGCTTCCCTGGAGGAGCTGCGAACATGGGTGCAATGTCTGCATGCATGGAACGGTCGGCATTTTCTTCATCCGACGCCAGATTTGACCCTTCAAACGGACGCTTCTATGTCGGGATGGGGAGCTTGTCTTCACTCCACGATAGGCGGCCGTTGGACAACTCTAGAACAACAACATCATATCAACTACCTCGAACTGTTAGCAGTTTGGTATGCCATCCGATCTCTCCTCGCAGAGAGGCGGGACATCCATGTTCTTCTTCAGATGGACAGTTCAACAGCCATTGCATATATCAACCACCAAGGAGGGACTCACTCGGTTCCAATGTCTCGACTAGCTGTCAAGATCTGGGTATGGTGTCTCAAGAGAAACATCACTCTAGCAGCTCAACATATACCGGGGTCCCAGAACATCACAGCAGACAGGATGTCACGAGTGTTCGACGATCGGGCGGAATGGCAACTCCGCCCAGAAGTCTTCCGCAGCATCATGGATGCCCTACATTTTGTCCCATCGGTAGACCTCTTTGCGTCTCGCCTGAATACACAACTAGAAACGTTCGTTTCATGGCAGCCAGACCCCATGGCTTGGAGGGTCAATGCTCTTCTTCTAAACTGGAAGGATGTAAACGGCTACGCTTTTCCTCCGTTTTCACTTCTTCTGAGAATCCTTCAAAAGATCCGCAGAGAGGAAGCTACAGTTGTTCTTGTCGCTCCAGTATGGAAGACTCAAGCTTGGTACCCCATGCTGCTGGAACTAGCAATAGACGTGCCACTGCTCCTCCCACGGAGAACAGATCTCCTTCAGCTTCCCCACAATCGGTCACAAGTTCATCCACTGATAGGCCACCTCCAACTGGCCGCATGGAAGTTATCAGGGCAAATCTCTCTTCAGAGGGACTTTCACAGACGGTGTCAGCCACAATCCTTGCTTCTTGGAGACCACAGTCCAATGCCCAGTATAACTCAGCATGGAGAAGGTGGGCAAGCTGGTGTTTACAGAGGAAACTTGATCCAGTTCACACCCCTGTAGCTGATTTCTTAGAGTTTCTTCAGCAGTTGTTTGACGAAGGTCTGTCCTACAGAACCATTAATGGCTATCGTTCTGCGATTTCATCAGCTCACTGCTTAATTGATAATTTGCCTATGGGTCAACATCGTTTAGTGAAACGTTTCTTTAAAGGTATTTTTGGACTTCGCCCTCCAAGACCGAAGTACAACAGCACATGGGACGTTGGGAAGGTCCTTGGATTCATCAAGTCTCTCCCCGACAATCGCCGTTTGTCCTTGAGGCAGTTAACCCTCAAGTTAGCCATGCTGCTTGCACTTGTAACTGCCAGTCGCCGAGCTTCCTTGACAGCTATTGATGTCGATAACATGACTCGATCATCTGATGGAAAATACCGTTTTCTCCTTGTCAAGCCATCGAAGTGTGTTTCTGTCAGTAAGCCCTTCCATCAAATTGAGATTTCCAAGTTCCAGCCGGTCAGAAATCTCTGCCCAGTTCGTTCTTTAGAAGAGTATCTTCAGAGAACCCAACATCACAGAGGTACTGGTTCTTCTAGGATGACCCAGCTTTTCCTCTCCCATTCAAAGCCATTCCATCCAGTGGTCCCCTCAACAATTTCTAGATGGTTGAAAGACTTAATGTCTCAGTCTGGCATTGATACATCACAGTTTCAGGCCCACTCAACAAGAAGTGCAAGTACTTCAGCCGCAGCTCGAGCTGGGGTCTCCACAAGTGAAATTTTAAAAACAGCAGACTGGTCATCAGCCTCTACCTTTGCCAATTTCTACCACAGACACCTCCCTCTGTCAGACTTTGGAGGTGCTGTGCTGTCATCGGCAACACAACAGCTTTAAAGTCTACAGGGTGAGTCTCTCCGGAGTTGGCGAAATATAATTCCCCAATTATGTAAAGTACTTACCTGCAATATAATTGGAATTATATGAGACAATGGAGGAGAGACTCAACCTCCCTCCCTTTTTCTTCATTTTCTTACTGCAGATAACCCGCCCGAGTAATTCTGGTTGGTTTCCGATGAGGTTTACCTTACTACCGTTACCTTACTACTAGCTTCAAAAAGACACAGATACCCTGGGAGAACGCAGCTTCACTACCACGCCGGGGAAGGGCCTTTTGTTATGCTAATGAGGTATGTTCTATTAGCTTCTAAGGGTGGATCAGATTGCAATACGAGAAACAATCTACAGGGTGAGTCTCTCCTCCATTGTCTCATATAATTCCAATTATATTGCAGGTAAGTACTTTACATAATTGGGGAAATCTACGCGTTGATTTGTTCGTATATTGTTTTGCAAGTGACCGATCAATAGTGCTTTGTAAATCTGAGTTTCTTTCACAAGATTTTCGTTAAAAACAGATTAGCGGTCGCCACAGCTCTTGGATAAGGGCGGTAGGGACTAGCCAACTTTTACTTCACCAAATTGCAGCCAATTAAACAATAAAACAGCATCGCTACAATATCCTCACCACTAAAAAGTACCTACGAAAAAAACACTTTTCGCGGCAGCAATCTGATGTTAAAGTGACTAGTTTTGTTGGATCTGAGTCAAGGACTTTAATTTACAAAACAAAAGGCATTCTTAGGAAAATTGATATGTTGGTCATCGTTTTCAATGAATTTCGCCATTCAACAACACTTCAGGTTAAAAACACAAATTAATGAAAGTAAGGCTCTCGAAAGTCAAAAAGAAATTCATTTCATCAATAATTTTGTTGAAAGTATATTTATGGGAAAATAATTGGTCCTACGCCAAAAACAGGCTAGATGCCCGCCGATTAAAATGCACAGAAAACAGTTACAGAGTAAAGACTGGAGGTCAATTGGCCTTCATGAAATCCAAGCGGGTGACGTTGCATATACCTCGTCCAATGAGATACGATTACCCTTACAACTATGTTTATAGCTGTTTGCAGTTGCCATAGCTATTCTATTTTTGTCCACAGAAGAAGTACCAACCTGAAACGAAAGTATAGGCTTGTTATAGGACCGCGTGTGTTTGAAAGAGCAAGATCCGTGTTCTCTTGTACCAGAACAAAGGCGTGCAGTTACCTCAGGCCTACCTGAAACCGGAACAATAGCTATAGTACAAAGTCTACCTTGCATTGAGTGAGATCAAATACATGTACATGCACGTACAACCCGTTGCACTGCCATCCCCTTCTAGTTAGCCGGAGCTGAAAAGCCATGATGATGATGCAAATTGCACCAACAAGATTACTGGTACGTTGCCCCTTTTTCCCCGACTATTTTGATTCGATATGTAAATTATCCTTACTTCTATAAACAGTAGAGAATGTGGTTTCTAAAAATTTGCGATCCTTCATATTTTTTGTCTGATGGCATCAGCATCTGCATCTCTTGCAACTGTGTTCTTCTGTACAAACGCCTGGTGTGGCTATCCGGCACAGTTAGCGCAATGCAAGGAGTCGGTGCAAATTTTGTCTGGTGGCCATGATCAGATATAGACTTATGTAAATCAGCAAATGATTTATGTAGATATTAAGCAATCGCGATATTATGCAGGGTTCACACATTCCAAATTTTAAACCGAATCGCCGCGAAAAGCAATTCTTGAGTAAATCGGGGAACGGTTCTTGGCTGCCTCGGGATGATTCTGTTAGTTCGGTGAAAGATCGTTAAAGACAGGTAAGCGACCCGACAGTTTTGGATATGTTCAAAATTGACGGGGTGACTCAGGAACCAATTTCAATTCTTGGTCTATTCTTCTTGTAAACTAATTCTGAAAATTCTTACAGCATTCGGACAAGTTTCGTAGAATTATTCGTGTTGTTAACAGTCCAGAATCAAATATCAAGACATGTACACAACTTATAAGAATAATTTACAAATACAGATTTTACTTGGAATAAATGAGAATAATCAAAGAACTTAGCAAGAATGAATAACGAATAATGCTGAACTATCCAGATTTTCCTAATAATTGAAATCGGCATATTTCTCGGTCATTCTGGATTTATTCTGGAGTTTTTCATATATTATTGATGACAAAATCGCTACAATTCGGCTTTTTATTCTGCAATAAATCGCAATAATTCGGCTTGATTTGGTCTGGTTCGGCTGCCAATTTCTGTTTCATTCTTTAGTTATTCTTACAAACAGCGAATGGGGGCTAATTTCTCCTGATGCCATCACTGAAGAATTTTTTTCGGGAAAGATCGGGGTATTCGTGGCAATAGCTGGGGAATGTGTGAACTAAGCTTTGTAACGTTGAGGCACAACGGGCGACACCGGGTAGCATATTCCACGCAGGAAGTGTTTTGAGATACAACGACTTCTGATAGAAGATTTCTAGATGAATCTCCCAGTAGTCTGACGTTTTTTGGCCTTGATTGACACAAATTGTGGTAAATGAGATAATGAAACATGTTGTTAGGGATAGGGCCATGGGTTTCTTTGTAGATGATTGTGAACGAGTTGCCCCATAACAGCTTCCCGGCGCGCGTCCAGTGCATATTTTGTCGTTCAAATCTCTCGAAACACATCCCCACGCACCCAATCGTGTTCACACCGTCGATCGTGAACGTCCAAATGTCCCTCTTTTGTTGTACCTTAACTTTTTAGGAAGACTCCCATATGTTTTGTACACGACCACAATAGTAGTAGTAGTAGTAGTAGAAACATTTATTTTAATGTTGCCATTTGCACACAATGACATGTTACAATGCCGTGTAAACATACTATACAGAGCAAAATGCAATGAATTATGTAATTGTGTATAATAATGTACATGGATCAATACTGACACAATGTTACGACAACATTTAGGTATGAAGTGAAGCGTCACGCTTTTGTACCCTTACCTATCGACAGACAGTGACAAAGGACAAAATGGACAACAGTGAGACACACAAAGACACAATCGAGGACGTATGCTGGGAATCGTGGACGATATTGTTCTCTTTTGTTCTCTGGTATGTTTTGCCCACGGTTTGAATAAATGAACACACCCACCTATTCATTTAGTTGACTAATTACGTGTACAATTGGAATTCGTTACAAAATCCATCTTCCGTTACATCTTGGTTAAGTCACAGCATCAGATAAAGGGCCTAGCTTTGTGCGTGAACTTACCCTGTCCTGGCCCCCCACAGTTAACCGACTTCGACTCTTGTTTAAATATCAATTGGTGAAGGTTTGTGGTAACACCATTTAGAAATCTCTTTTGAGAAGATGTGCGATTCTGAAAAGAACAGGTTGGTTGTGAAACTCTACGTTCCGATCATTTTGGAAAAAAAACCTGCCAAAATGCCAAAGAATGACCTTTGCTGTCAAATTTTGAATAATTATGAAAAACCAGTCCGTTTTAATTTGCTTTCTGAAATAAAGATGGCGATTTTTCTCTGTTTTCATTTGCAAGTTTTCGTTCATTCATGGAGGTGAGAAAATGTCCATGTTCCATTGTAATGGGTATTCATCGGTTCGTAGAACGGTAAATAATCAGTGGTGGACAGCTGAATTTTCTGATGTTTTTTTCCTAAAATAGATATAACTTTGGAATAAAGTATGCAAATTACGTTAAATTGTCACAATAATTTGTCAATAACGTGAACTTTATCTGTGTTATTTTAATGAAATGGAACTGGCTAAATTATAAAAAAAAATTATTATAATTCGGTCTCTGTCTTTTTGACCTGCACTGAATAGTTTCGAATTTCCACGGCCGTGCTATTTTATGACTTTTGGTCAACCGCCCTCCCCCACCCCCACTCGCCGACACAGATTTAAGCCATTGTTTGGCAACCAAAGGCACATGCATGGTGGTGTTAAATTATTTTCAGGGGATGTTGGGTTTACGGTCGAATTATAGAAATGTTCCGGTTGGTGGCCGGTCATGGACATTTAATCATAAGGTGGAGGGGTGTATGGAAAACGGAACTCTCATTGTCTTTTTCCCTTTTTTTCTGTTGTTCTTTTTGATGAGCAGGACGCCTTTGTTTTTCACTCTTTTTTCTACTCTCGCCTGCACAGTGCTTCTCGGTTAAATGACATTTCAAAAGGTGGAAACCCAGTATTGGAAATTGACGCAGGGTTTCCTGAAAGTTAAAAAACGTGTTCGAAACCTTTCTGAAACCCGTAGGTCGGACAAAAAGGCTGTAATCGCGCTTTTATTTACATTTAACGACACTTGACAAGTTTCCATTGTCCATTAATTGGCACTTACCAGGCCGGCTTCGTGTTGAATTATTTGCATCCGCGCATAAGCTGTTTACCGCGACCTTGGGGTCATTTGGTTTATGCACGGTGAATGCTACACTTGCTGAAGGCATTCGTCATTGTCTGTCCATACTGTATATTTGGCGGCATATCCTCGCTATGCATTGCATAGAAAATACAGCGCGAACAGGGAACTCATGCGGCCACTAGTTATAACAACAACAGCAACAGCACCAACAACCAACAACAACAACAACAATACTACTACAAGCATTTATAAAGCACATTTTCCCCAATAGTTACAATGCGCTAACAACTCCAGAAGGTACAACTAATGAAACATAACAGGTGGGGAATGAACAATAGAAGTACAGTTAATATGAAAATAGATATGATATGATTTGAGTTTACTTTGAAACTAGTGGATGGATTTACAATGACGAACACTGAGAGGGAGTGAGTTCCAACATTTAGGTCCAGCTACAGAAAAATCCTTGTCACCTGCGTGTTTGAATGTGCTTGGTATTTTTAAGTTTTGCTCTGAGCAGAGGCCTCTTTGGTTCGGAGGCCTCTTTGGATTCTAGATGCTCTGTGGTGGGATCTGAGGCAATTTCTGACCACTTTGACCATTTTTTTAGAAAAAGATGGTGGTGTATGTAGTGCCTGCCTTTATTGCGTCGTCACTTAAAAAAAATTGGGTTCGTTCTTTTTGGGGGGAAGAAGGGGCCCCCGATCCGCCCTTGGAGGGATGGGTGTATGTATCCCCCCAATTTTTGACCAAGGGGGGGGGGGGCTATTGGATCACACCCCACAACCCCGCCCACGTGGTGAGAAGACAAAAAGGGCAGATTTTGAGGGTTTTTTAAACTTCTCTATGCAACCAAAATGTATTCAATAGAGTACTGAAAAAGGGAGAAAAGGTTTTAAATGTTTTAAATGCGCCGTTTTGATGTAAGGTCAAGGGGCGTAGATATACATGATGTACATCTGTTTAATGAATAACTCCCCTGGTGTCATTTTGTGGTGCCCAGCAAGCGCCCCCCCCCTTCTTTGTTGTATTCGCGTTTTTCAAATTTGTCTCTGAAACACGCTCTAGGCATTATGTACCTACACTGGTATCGACATCCATACCAGTGTAAATCAACAGAATTTTCCCCTACAACTTACAAGACTTAGTCATGCTGGTCGCAATATAAAGTCAAAAATGTACATCAGTTCGCAGAGCCTTCGGTCCTCGGATCATTTGACTCCTATCCCCAAAAGTAAAAGAATGAGGAACGGTTATGCTGATGCTGATAACAAAACCCAATTTTCTTCTCCTTTAAATCAACTTTACTTCACGGCGGCAAATTGGCAATTTTCTTGGAATTTTCCAACAATAAAAATTATTCCCTAAATAAAGTTAGCATGCACATATCGGTCAATCCTTGCTATTTTCTCAACTAAAAATCACTTCTCCAAAAAGAAAAATACCCAATCAGACAAAAAAAATTGATCATGGTGGCTGCCCCCCCCCAAAAAAAAATCCCCCTCCAATTCGACTAGACATGTAACATAGTGGCTTCATGTATGATTACGCCCCCTCCCAAAATGCAATAAACACAAAAGTTGCACATGTACAGTCTATGTAGCGCGGCCGCGCTGCAGTGATTGGTCTGGTTACCAGACCAAAAGATTCTGACTGTTTCTGATGAGCGTCGGGAATAATTGTCAGGTCTGGGAACCAGACTATGATGTAACGAAATAATGAAATGAAAAGGGCTAAGGAATTTCTTTTTCATTGTTGAACTTTTCTATTTTGGTTAAAAATTTGAACAAATCCTTTAACTTTGTTTACTGTTCTTTTGTTGCTGTAAACTGGGGTTTTTTATTTATCGCTGATTCACCCATCGATCTCTTGACGTGCAAGACGCAGTGGCGTTATCAGGGGTTGGGGAGTGCAGAGTGGCATTTGCACCGGGCTAAAAATCAGGACGGCGAAATTGGCCTGTCGGAAAATCCTACGTCCTTCGGGAAATTTGCAGGGATGAAGAGCGAAAATGTCCATGATTGTTTGCTTTTAACAGTGCCCCCATCAGAAGATAGTGCGAACCACTCTCTCCCCCAGAATTTTACAGAATACGAACATGCAGCAATTCCAAAAAGATGCTTGAACAAATTTGAAATATGTTTACCCATTAATGAAAATGAATGCCCGATCAACCTCTTACTGCTGGTTCAGACGAAATTGAATGAACAGTATGATACTTTTAAAGGGACACTAGGTCCTGGTACAGCCCGATTGGGCTACAAAACGCGCTTTGAACGAGATAATGTTAATCGGAAAGAATATTTAAAACTAGGATGTAAACATCCACACAACTATATCCTTTAAAAACTGGGCGTTTTGTGTTATTCACGTACTATGCGTGCGAGAAGGAATTTCGGGTCCACTTTTGCGACCCCATAAATGCGAGCTGTTTGGATGCTAGTTGTGATTTCGTTCGTAAAGTGTTTGCCTTTGTCGGACGTTGAAGAAACTACATTTTTTTGCATTAGTGATTGGTCACCGCTGTTCCCGAGACACACAACGTGTATCGTACACTGTGTGAGAATGACACGAAAAACGTATTCGTACTCCGTCGTGTCCGATGTAAACAAGCGGGGATTTTTTCTCTTTTCTCGGGAACGGTAAGACATTAGGTTGGTTTCCTTTTAACCACATGTTTGAAATAGGCTAAGTAACCAATCCAAAACATGAAATTTTCGGGGATTTCAGGACCTAGTGCCCCTTTAATTTGAATGCATCTTTTACAGGGACGAGTGAAGCTAAAAGACAATAGAATGTTAGGATAGTGAAATTGGCCGGGAAAACCTATATTACTTAACAAGTGCCGTTTTTGTTTGTTTGATGGTTCATTCAAAATGGATATATTGTTTGTTTTCTCTAGCAAAAGCAACATGGTAAATAAATCTGTTTCCGAAAATGGAACGGATAGAACATCTATAAATTGATTTGAAAGACGTTATGGTCAAACGCTGGAATATTTTAAGATATCCCTGCTATTTGTGGTATGCACCATGCATGCCTTCACCTAGCCTTGGTCAATGCGTTCGTCATTATCCGTCCGGTATTCAGCGGTATATCCTCGGCACGCCCTGACTGTTTGATATGCAGTGCATGTAAAAAAAAATACAGCACGAACAGCGACCTCATACGGCCACTATTTATATGCAAATTGCTTGGATCGATCTAGACTAACGCCTTGGTCCAATCGTCCATGTGAGGTTTTAAGGATGGTGCTTATTATGCTAATGGCCTCAGCTGACCTTAAAAGTCGGTTTTTTTATTGGTCGACAGCTGCGTAATACTTGCATAATAGTAAGCGCGGGGTGAAAGGTCATATAGCGATAACGTGAGACCATAGAGCTATATCAAATTACTGAGTGCTAACTCCTCATTCTTGCGCTCGGAGAAGCTGTGAAGCCGTCCTGGGCGCAGACATTTTGAATTCATGTGCGTGTTGTAGAAAATTATGAATTGAGATGGATTGAATTTTGAAGGTTTACTCTAAATGCAACGCACAAGTATAACGTACGCAAACAACTTAACCGCGCCATTACGGTTTAAAAAAAAAAGTCACGGTAAACATCTGCAGCGAAGACGCGCACGCATTGCGCTGTTTAAGTAGAGCCAATAAAATGCTTATTTGCTGATCGTGCGTTGCGCAAAATAATGAAAAACATAAGCTTTCGCCGACGATTGGACCAAGGCGCATGAGGTCGCACTTTATTTTTACATGCACTGCATAGCGAGGATATGTCATGGAATATACCGTACAGACAACCTCGTCACCAGTGCTTACTTTATTTCCAACCTCGTTTCCAATAGTAGGCCCTGGATAGGAAATTTTCTTCCTGTATGCTGATTCGATACCGAAATTGTGTAGTAATGGATTTATATCGTGTACTTGGTGTTGTTATATCCAACGTGCATTACGTGTTTTCACGATCATTGTAATTATAACGTCCACGCCTTCGCAAAAATACACCTTTCCTTTCCAATTTGCTCATATTAATATGACATGTGATACTACATATTTGCGGGATAAGATTGTTACATTTTTACTTCGAAAATAATCGCGTGTTCTCGTAACTCACGGCGCGACGAATTGATGCTGTCTTTACCCCCAGACACCGCATACAAAAACAACCGCTAATGTAACGCGCATGCAGGCACCAGACTATTCCTTATTTGCATACGTGTTCAAACAATTTGCACATGCAAATGATCCAATACCAGGGTGAGAGAGCAGGTAGTGGGAGGCTGACCGTACGGGCGGATAATGACGAACGCCTTGACCAAGGCTTAGTAATAAATAAGGCTAAATAATGAATGTTTCACATTCGTGATAGGAAGAAAATAATTTCATTAGGTGACAGAATGCATGGAATGTTCCATTCCACTCGGCTTCGCCGGCCCCTTTGAATGGAACGTTCCATCTTTCTCAGCTCATGAAATTACACTGAACAGTGCACCCGTAATTATTCATTATTTATATTGACCCATCTTGAAATAGTGAAACAGCGTTCTCTCGTACCTCCCCCCCCCCCCCTCCCCCGCCCTGCAAACAAGACGCTGGGACACTCTGATGAATTCACGCTCTGATTGGTTGGATTTTGCGTGACCGCTGACCTGCGCGTCATCACGATCAGGACTCTGCAAGGTTTGAAACTGGCCGTTAAGATTGATTCATTACTCTTTTATTCCAGTTTAGAGATGTTTTTTTTTCGTTGAAAAGCGAAATGATGTAGGAAATTCTGTGAAACTTATCTGTTTTGTAAATTTACAATTCCCGTCACTTGCTCAGGCTCCGTTTCGAATCACGAACGGTCGGATTGCGTTATCATTATGCGACGCTCAAAATTTCAGAAAATCAAAGTTTAGAATATATCATACCTTAAAGTGACATTGTGCACTGTTGATCTATTTATAGAAAATAGCAAATACACGGCACACCAAACTACATTTTGTTCCCTTTGCACAGATTAAAGCGTAACCGGGGAGTCAAACTCCACGCTGTGGTGCTCTTCACGTAGGTCTACACGGCAGTCCTGTTAGGCCCGCCTGGCCGGGGTACCACTTTTGGTCCTGTGAAGACTTCAATCAAAACCGTCATCCTCCGCGCATTGATAGGACAAGCTCCTATGCTTATCATCCCTACTCATAATCAAAGGAAACGACAACATGATCATGGAAGAAGCTTCTCGTCACACAAGGTGTGCCCGTCCCAAGGATTACTGGTGGAGTAGTAAACACGTCTACCCAGACAAACCAAGGATCACCTGTCCTTCCATCTCTCGCTGGGCCGTACTGCGCAGTAAACGGGTATTGTCAACTCCAATATGCCGATCAATTCTTTTTGTGTTGACCTTAATGGTCCTTACTTCAGTCATGCTCAGTAGTCCAACCACCGATTTCGAGATGGAAGACAGGAGGGAGAATGTACAATTACGCAAAAGTACTCCTACCCTGGCCAGTGTAAGGTCGACAGCAATCACCAATACGAGGTAAGATCTGAAGAATATGTCTGACACAATGGTATCCCGATACAGTAATTCTCAAGACATTAATTTAAGCACATGGATATGAATCGTGTTTGTACGAAGTGGTTCTGAAAAAATCGGAAGTGATGATTCGATAATTGTCCTAATGACATTCAGAACATCTCTGGTGGAGTTAACATCGGTGGTTCGTTTCAGTACCACTTTTCAAAAGCTTTTACAAGGCAAATCCGTAATTGTATGGAGGTTTATATAGTATCGATACTCATTGAACAAATATTAAGCCCCAAAATAATTATTGTTGCCCTCACCCGACCTACACAACAATCTGGAAATCTCCTGTCTTTTTTTTTTACCTTGAAACAAATGAACATTTACATTGCTCATCTTTAAGTTTTTACATTTGTTTCTTTGCAATGCCATAATTTTGCATTTCGTTGCAAAGCGTACACAATTCTAACTTACCGTTATTGTTTTGTACGTGTAACTGAGGCCGAGGCCTAGGGCATGTGGTATGAATTTGTGATGTGCTATGTACACCAAGGGAATGTTTGCAGGGAGGCGTTCCATCAGCAAATCAATGCTGAAATGTTGACTTGTTTTTTTTTGTCTGGACAATTGACTCCGTAAAATCAATAGGTGGGGGAGCTCGTACCATACTTTCAATGGGGGCGCTGTTCAAATCCGACGATTATTAACACTATATAATACAGGATAGTGTACAAATACCCCCGTTACCCAGCAGGCTCTGTCCGTATTTTGTGCACAGGCGTATATTAAAACCAGTGTAATTGTTTTTTTTTGGTGTCAGAGCAGCGGGGGGGGGGGGTGGGGTTGATATTAGTTTTTAGGAATTTATATAGGAAAAAAAAACACATTTTGATACAGCTGTTTTTTTACCCCCAAACCCCCGCCCTTGATCCTTGCTTGATTGTCACCGTACACAATGCACATAATATGCACATGCACTGTACATTGTATCGCATGCATGTGTACATGTACACAAGGGCGGATCCAGGGGGGGGCCAAAGGGGGCCATGCCCCCCCCCCCCAAAAAAAAACCAATTTTTTTTTTCATGACATCGCAATAAAGGCAGGCAATGAGTTCACCACCATCTTTTCCTCAAAAAACATTGGTTAAAGTGGTCAGAAATTGCCTCAGATCGCACCACAGAGCATCTAGAATCCAAAATTGTTTCGGGGCCCTTAAGCGGACCCCGAACCCCACGCCATAAATTTTTGGACCCACTTTTTTGGGGACCAAATTTTTTTTGGGCCCCCCTTCGCGCATGGATGACACTTGAACACATGGCTTTATTTTTTTAAACGACTCTTGCCATCACAGGTAGACAAAATCTCCAGTGGCTCCACGAATAAAACGTTCAAGCACATCAACTGCATAGGTTTCAAAATACTGAAAATCTTGCCCCGCTCTTTATTGATAGATGCCAGAGACACTTTTTAATTCAGCGAAAATCGAAGCTTATCACCACACAAACTGCATAGCTGGTTCCGCGCTAACACTAGTTTGTGATTTTGTATTCAGGGTGCGGGAACCAGACCTAACCTAGTCCTGCATAATATAATCTACGTACACTAAGAGGAAAACCTATATTCAGGATTCATTGCTATCTACCTGTCCCTTAATTCGAAGGATAATGGAGTGACCAGGAACACCCATGTTTCATTGTATTTAATATGTATTCATCAGTTCGCAGAATGGTAAATGATTAGTGGTGGACAGCTGCATTTTGTGATATTTGCATTAAAATATATAGACATATCTGGGGAATAGAATGAGCAAATTACGTGACATTTTTCACAGTTACTAATCCATACCATGTACTTAATCCCAATGTTATTTTTATGAAACAGAGCGAGCCACATGTCTGTTTTTAATATTTGTATTTTGTAATTCGGTCACTGTTTAATTTTACTCACCCTGTATAGTAAGTTGGTAAATAAATCAGTGTTAAATCTCGTTACAGATTACAAGAAGTTGACGAGCGTGTTGAACAGACAACTAACTGGACAATCAAAGATGAATTGCAGCCAACAACTAAATCTTTCGGACCGGCTAGGTAGGAACCATGCACAAGAATTCATTTAGGGTAAACGACAAGGACTTTTCAGCATTAATAAAAACCTGGCTGTTCTAATTAAGGAGAAACTAAAAAACAGTTGTGTATACACACTAAAAAAAAAAAAAATACACAGGTTGTGTAAACATTTACCATATTTATATGTATATGCGAACTCGCTTGCAATTATGTTAGAAGTTACGTAACGTGTGTTTGGTAGACGATTTCTTGACAGTTGTGTAAAAGTTTACTGGATGTCTGTGTAAATATACAGGGCGTCCTGAAAAAAAATGGTGCACGCAAATCCCTTCAATTTTGCTAATTTACAACCAAAATTGTCTGCGGATGTTTACACCATCTTGAAGGTAATAGATTTAGCTTGAAAATACCGTTTGTTTCTTTGAAATTGCTTTTGTAAATCCAAAGATATGTTTGAATAACGGCAAAGCCAAGAAACCCATTTTGTGCCACTTTCTGTGAAGCAGTTTAAATCAGTATAGTCCTAGTCTAAAACCAAATCATTACTGTTAGTGATGTTAACACTTTTTTAAGCAGAGTGTGCAAAATTGAATCCTTTAATTGAAGTTTTAAGGAAGTGAACCTGTCTGTACTATTACATTGTTTCAACATAAGAACAAAACCCTATATTGTCGTATGAATGGAATGTTTGCCTTACACCCATAGGGATAATCTTATCAAAAGAGCCATACTGACATTGTCTGATCTTTGAAGCACTCGCTTCCTAAACGTGGCACAGAATTGTTGGGGGGGGGGGGGTTGGCTTTGCAGTTATTCAAACATATCTCTGGATTGAAAAAGCAATCTTAATTAGACAAATGGTATTCTCAAGCTAAATCTGTAACCTTGAAGATTGTATAAACATTTGCAGTAAATTCCGGTTGTAAATTGGCGAAAATGGTGGAGTTTACATGCACCATTATTTTCAGGACACCCTGTATTTACACGTTCATTAGTTAAAAGACAACTAAGTAAACTTTACACAACTTTCAGGTAAAGCAACACTCCCTTCCCATGTTAAAATTATGCTTTCTCAGTGCAAAAAAAACAAAAGCAAAACTCGACTTGTTTCATTTTCATTTTATATTGTCCTTTCCCGAACTGCTTAGAGTGTGTTTGTTATGGAACATAATTTAACTGATTCCTTTAACATAGAATATTCCAAATTGAAAACGTAGGCCAACATGCGGTGCAGCAAATTATAGCGTATAGGCCTAAGTGAAGATGGAGAACAACACGACGTCTTTGACAACGATGGTGTATGCCGCAAATATTCTCGGTCTTTGAAGGTAACATTTTCCTAAACCTCCTGTGATTGTCATACCATCCCCAATCACCAGAAATTCATCGACACTTTGCACGATTAGAAACAACAGGATATTCTTATATGTAGTGTATAACCCACGGCTCGGCCACGGAGAGTACGCACGCACATGTACAGAGGCCAGCCTCGTCCTCGGGGTGTCGAGCAGTACGCGCCCACTACTACCTGCTCTCTCACCCTGGTACTGGATCATTTGCATGTGCAACATTTTTGAACACGTATGCAAATGAGGAATAGTGGTCTGGCGCCTGCCTGTGCATTACATTAGCGTTTGCTTTGTATGCGATGTCTGGGGTCAAAACACAATCGATTCGTCGCGCCGTGAGTTACGAAAACACGATTATTTTCGAAGTAAAAATGTTACAATCTTATCCAGCCATTTATTGAGAAGATTGGATAGGGAAGGAGCATTTTAGAGAAGGAGTTGACATTATAATTACAATAGAGAGGTTTCGCATGCAAACGGATACGTTTAGTGCGACGGATACGTCATCAGTTATGACGTCATACGCCACTCATTATCCGCTAAACATGCAGACGACACGCATATCTTGCTCGCTACACGTAAGTAAAAAACGGATACGGATAGCTAAACGTAAGTGTAAGCGCATCCGTTCGCTTGCGAAACCTCCCAAATGATCGTGAAAACACGTAATGCACGTCGGAAATAACAACACCAACCACACGATATAAACCAATAACTAGCCAATTGTGGCATCGAATCAGGATACAGAAAGACAGTTTTCTGTCGGGCTTACTATTGAAAACGAGGTGTACAATTATGTGCATGTAGTACACTACATAATGTCCTGTTACATTTTCTCGTGCAAAGTGTCCAGGCATTTCTGTGGACTGGGGACGGTATGACAATCACAAAAGCTTTTGAAAATGTTACCTTCAAAGACCGAAAATAGCTGCGGCATACCCCAGAGTTGTCACCGATGTCATTGTGTTCTCCATCTTAGCTAAACTGACTGCTTTACTTATTCAAAATGTATTTTAAATTTACGTGTTTTCAAGGCATTTTTTCCGGTGAATCTGACATAAATTAGGTTTTATTTAACATACCCATTTTACCTAATTCTTTTTTCACATATCTTTTTGAGAGTGCAGCATCAACCTCTTTTTGACATCTTTCCTATGACATCCATCATTTTGTTTCAATTAATGAAGGGACAAATAAAACGAAGAAGAAGGAAACACGTTTTACCAAAATTCGAAGCGGAACGAGGAAACATCCTCGTAGTTGATTCATTGCTCCGTTTCTCATGTCTTCACCCCTCTCATACTTTGATATAAACAAGCACGATCGTAAAAGACAGAAAATACTGATAACAAATTAAGCTAATTAAAACTGATTAACGATTCCCTCGGGGGTAGTATTTCCTCGGACTGCATGACTACATAATTTTACGTTTAGTGTTTACAAGACTGTAATATGACTTTTACTACGACTGTCCTTTTTTATCATAATCCTCTATCCAGTGTCTTTGCACAGAAGTACGCCCCTGGTTACTCTCAAAACGACTCCGAGCTTTTTAGCTACCTCGCTGCCCTCAGCAAGCAGAAATGGGTGTACAATTCCAGCAATGCAAAGGAGTTCAGGTAAGAGCACTGAAATACATTTCCTTTTTTTTTTTTATAATATTCGACTCCTTAACCTAATCTAGCAAGGGTTTGACGAAAACCTAAACCAGCCAACCGATCCCGTTAGCTCGGTGGTAGAGTGGTAAGACATCTGCATTTGAAAGCAGGAGGTCGTGGGTTCGAGTCCCACCCGAGTGATTTTTCCAACTTTCACTCGGGAGGTAACACACTGAGTATACAGTGTTTAAACGTCCGTGAAGGGCAAAACCTAATTTGATTTATATCACCCCGACGCAAAATTCCATCTTATAATAGAAAACTTACATGTCAAGAAGTTCCGGGCCAAACTGTGAGGCTGGTTGGTTTTCAAAGTGTCCAATGCATGATACGAGCGTGTGATTGATTGACGGTGAACAGTCTTTCGGATCTCTCCCTTTTTCACATTGTTTGACAGGGTCGACTTACGAGCTGCTCTAGGGAAAGAAGGACGGTTTGAAAACTTCATCGCAACACGACGAAATACGCGGCCGGACCAAAATATCAGCTTTTATCTTCGTGGCTCTATGCTAATGTCCAAAACCTTGTGGAGATCGCTTCCAAGGGTAAGTCAACCAAATGTACCCCACCCCCCTCCAGTCCACCTCCCCCCCCCCCCCCCAAAAAAAAAAAAATTTAAAAAAAACCAAAAAAACAAATTGTGGCAAAATCTCGATATGACACCAAATGCAAGTTACCTGTGGAAACACTCGTATCCGAAAATATCTACTTATTCCTACTCGGTAAAATCTAACTATGTTTTGGTGCATCACTTGGCATTACTTTTGGAAAACACCAAAGACCGTCCGATGTTCATAAACTGGAAGGGTGTGAAAAAGAAAGGCAGAATTTTCAAACTTTTAACGCGTTTCACGCAAAATGTCTTTTTATTGCTTTCAAATATCTTAAAAGTTGAAATCAATCACATAGAGTTGACGATCTCAACACTTTGGTTACTCGGATACATGAAAGGCCTACCTTTTTAATTTATTTTTTATCTATTTATTTTTGGTACCATCTTTTTAAGGAAAAACACTCAAAATATATGTCTAGGATGCAGGTATCGGACAAAAAAAATATCACAAAAATGAAATTAGGCCTCAACATTTGCCCACGTTGCTCATTGTGCATAAGTCTTGAATTGACTGTTTTGGGAACTGAAATGTTAAGTGTCGCATGAATGATTCAAGATTTGAAGCAAAACTTTTGTGTAAATTTTGTATAATTTATAAATTAAAATGTTGTTTTTATCACACCTCATTAACTTGATTTGTTACAGGGTACAATATATAAACGTAGACGTCATCGGACCTGCAGTGTTGTTGGCTCCAGCGGTGTACTGAACGGATCCCGATGTGGAAATCTCATAGACAAGGCAAACTTTGTCCTCAGGTAGGTCATTTAAATTCACGAAAACCTCTCTGAATTAATGCTCTGTGGTGCAACACTCGCTTTTCGTTGACTGCACCATCGCAAATCACGTACATGCTTAACCGGTCACTACAAAGGTGTCTTTCATTATATTACTATTATACCAACAGATTCAACTTGGCTTATGTGAAAGGCTATGAAGCCGACGTTGGCACCAAAACACACTTCACGACGTTAAACCCTTCATTAGTACACAAAAGGTTAGTACATATAATTGCCCTATTAATCTTCTTCCTTTGTCTGGCCCGAAATCTCTCCACTAATTGAGTGTTCCAACTCTCTGCCTCCACATAACGCCTTCATTCATGTTTGCTGCGTTTTGCTATATGGCATAAATATAAACTATAGGGCATAGATATATAAGCACACGACTTTATGTAAATAGAGTTGTTGGCTATTCGTAACAGTTACCGACTTCCAACAGTTGGGTGAAACGTTACGTAATCCTCCTTTTAATGATGGCATTCAAATGGCGCGTGATTTCTATTGTGACATTGAAGTGGCGATCCTTCTCGCACGCACAGAGCAATTCTTTTACAAAGAAAACATCCTCTTCAGCGCTGACTGACTTCAATAGGCCCATGCTTATTTTGCATGTGACAGTTACAGACATACAGTCACCCATTGACTGTTATGTGAAACTGTTGTACAACTGTTAGACCGGACTGTTGTGTATAAAGCAATCAAATTGCACTTAAGAACAGTCGTTGTAAGTTGCCACGAAAAGGTCTCTGAGTCCACTGAGGCATCTATCAATTATCCCCATTGCATTGCCTTCTGGGAGTAGTGGTCTCGTCATTGCCCATTCCTGGGCATTCTGCCATTTCACATGGCTTCGCTAAATCAAGGGGGCTTAAAGGGCAGCAATCTCGAAATAATATTACATATATAATCTTCATTTTCACCAAACATTTTATGAAGGATATTACCATATTTTTTCGGTTTTCATTTTTTTTAAAAACATTTTAAATATTATTCATCAAGGCATACCATTGCACGAAGTTTCAAAGCTTCAAGAGCTTAATTGAACTGGGCTCAAATGCGAGCAACAACGTTTTCACGAAGTTACACTCTCCTAGTTTGAGCGCGCTGACCTCCGTTTCCACGAAGTAACACTCACCTAGTCTTGTGATACATTGAAGCGTTCTACTTATGAAAAAAAAAAGTTTCGCACCTTTTTTGGTTTTACAAACTATCACTCACCTTTTTCTCTTATTTCTTGTTAATAATTTAATATACAAACGAGTGAAAACCAGCAACTTTAATAAATTCAATACATCAATTGTCCACAACGAGAAACCCAACTGAAAATACTATGCAGTTTTGACGCAAAGTGTTGTTCTAGAAAACGTTCAACTTTAGATGCCGTTTACTCCGATTGCTAGGTTTTACTGGTATGTACATGAGTGTTACTTCGTGGTGTCACTGACGAAATAACAACAGATTGTTGATTGGGGAAAGTGCTTCTCCTCGCCTTCCCGGGATTATGACTTCCCTTGAATATCAAATATTGTGAGAAAATCTTCACGGGTAACTCCAAAGTAAACAATAGACGAAGGTGTTCAAGTTAATCATTAAAAACATCTCTTCCTTGTCTCGGTTCATAAAATGAACAGAGCACTGTAAATGTCCCCAAAATTATCTTCACACGCGCGAGAGAGATAATTTGATACGTCTGCTTGTCTTGTAAAGCAAGGCCAGTATAGCTGCGTCATCCATATATATTTGCTTTGAGCTCAATGATTAACAATTAGTCACAAATACTACATGGTACAACTCGTTGAATACTCCCGTTTAATGGCCCAGTATCGGCTCTGTGTGATTTGCTATTGCCATGTTTGAGGTAAGCGTGCCACTGTTACGTTATGGGCTGTATCAGATTTCACCCAGTGCTCTGTTCGGAACATTTTATGAACCGAGACAAGGAAGAGATGGTTTTAAATGATTTACTTGAACCCACTGATCTATTTTTACTTTGACTGGAGTGCATTTTCACACTTCAAAAGTGCACTTTTCACACTTCAAAACAGAAATCATTTTACTCACATTTATATATTTTTTTAATAAAAACATAGTGTATTGCTATCAGTTCACATCGGAAATTTAGTGGTGAAAAAAAGAAGGCTGAATGCCTCATACAGGCATGACCGCTTATGAAACTAATTAAAGGATTGAAGAATCTTAATCCTCCAACTAACCACACTCCCTTTTTTGACAAGGTTTTCCAAGCCGAGTGACCCACAGGATTGCTGGGGTTGATGTTAAGAAGGCCGATCCGCCGTAATGATCACCACTTCAATGTCCCAATAGAAATCACGCGCCATTTGAATGCCATCATTAAAAGGAGGATTACGTAACGTTTCACCCAACTGTTGGAAGTCGGTAACTGTTACGAATAGCCAACAACTCTAATAGAAACTTTATCTATTTCATGGAGACTGTAAGCATAAGCATAAGCACAGCAAGAGGCGCGCTTACTTCAGAGGAAACTTTTGCTGAGGTTCATCTGGACTTGATTTCTAAAGTGTGTTCCTTATTCCTCGAAGATTTCTGTTGATGATCCTGCAAGTCCTTTGCAGTGATACTTTCCCCTGCCCTTTTTGAGACATTCAGCTTTTTTCACAAGACGTTTTCGTATTGGCAGCCATCCGGGGTTCGTGAATGACAGTACTTTGTTCGCGACATTGTTTATCAAGGAAAGGCCCCGCTCAAAATTCTACAGACTCTATTATTTGTCATTATTTTGGTCAATTTTTAACCGGATGAGATAATAGTTTAATGATACTAATAAAGCACTCTCAAACCGATACATTATTATTTGATGCCAAAATACTCTGACTGTTATTGTTTGCTCGGTGCTGTTAAACAATAATAAAATGAATATACCAAACAAGACCGGTTTTATGCTGCACCCTTACAGGTTTAATAGGCTGAGGACCAAGCAAAACTATGCAGACTTTGAGGAGGTCTTAAAGCAGTTTAAGGGCAGCCAACTGTGGCTGCCAGCATTTGCTTCCACCTTGCAACATCGAACCCTCCTCAGAGTCGCGAGTGCTGCCCGATATTCCAAGCTAGTCACGCCCATCCTTGGCCACCCTGACCACTACACCACCGTGGCAAAGCTTTGGAAGAAAACGTTGAATGTAACTGGCTGGACCACAACAGGTAAGCCATTATTTTCGAGAAAAAAAATTACGAGAGCAGGAATTTGCAGCCCGTTAACCTTTCAGACATAATGATCCCCAATAACAGGGTTTTTTTTGTAAAGGGGAAGGTGGATTTATTGGATGGCTTCCCTCCTATACCTCCTCCCTTCTGCTGTCCGATAAAATCTGGAGGGTTTTTACTGACGTTATGTTTCATGCTGACCTATTTTTTGTATGTACAATCGTGTTGGCTGATGTCCGAGTTGTTTCTGTATCTTTTATTTTTGTTGCTCTTCTGATATCGTACCCAAGACCAAAATCTCATTTCGTTTAAACAGGTCTGCACGTGTTCACGTCCATCTTCGATCTGTGTGACCGAATTGATGTCTTCGGTTTCTGGCCGTTTGCCAAATCCTTGGAGGGCAAGACGTTACCATACCACTACCACGACGGCAGACGAGGCGCGTCAGCTCACAGTTTCACCAAAGAATTCAAGGCGATATTGCATTTGCACGAGCTTGGCATTATCAATTTTCATTTGGGTTCATGCGTATGATCGTTCTATGTGACCTGCTAATTTTGTTACATGTCCCAGAAAGCAATTTTAAACCTTCCCGCCTGCTTTAAAATGCATCATATGGCGCGAAACGGAGCTAACTTCTATTATGGACCATAAGTTTTACTTTTTGTTCAGTTGTTTATGATGTTAATAACAATCTCAGTTTATTTTATATGAATAGACATTTCTTTTATTCAAGGTTTAAATGTTTGACATTCAAATAAATTCCCATTTATCTCAATTCATAAAATTAAAGGGAGAAGCAGTAATGTTTCAAATCTCAGTATTTTGCTTGATAAGAAATCTTTATAGGGCAGGGCCGAAGGCAGGGAGGGGAGGTGGGCGCGGACGAACGCCCCCCCCCCCTAAAAAAATAAAAATAATAATCATAATTATAATATGCATGTCCACTGTTTCCTAGCAATTGACATTTGAGGTTTACTCAAATGAGTCTTTCCATGGGTAATCAAATGTTTATTAGACATGAAAAAGCCCACTTCTTGGTAAAAACGACCCTCCACTTCCACCTGGCTGGCTACGAGCCTACGGCCCTGCGGGGGGGGGGGGGAGTTTAGATTTTTAGGATTTCCTATTGATGATATCATCATCAAAAGTCACTTGAAGTACTGCCAATTCATTGAAATTGTGTAAAAAATGGAAGATTTGGAGTAATTATCACAATAAATATTGCTCCCTTTGAAAAACAAATATTGTCTGGTTTTCACCTTATACGTCTTGTATTTCTTGGAAAAACATTGTTCGGGAAAATACATCCCGTACGACTGGAGATAAACTACCTACTCTTCCAAAATTGAATTATTACCGATAACATGTAACACCAATTTGGGGCACAAAGTCAGCCTATAAGTATTTAGTGTGTTCAATGAATATATCTGCAAGCGCCAACTGGGGAAATGATTCTTGAGGGTGCGCGCCTGTAAAAAAAGCCAAAAATCCGTCCGCTGAGCTCATGAATACAAGTTATACCCTCAAAATATTCTATATTAGAGAGTTTTGAGAGCCATACAATTGGGGAATTGAAGAGATATGGTAATGAACCTGTGGCCCGGACTTCGAGCTTCAAATTCTGAGCATTTTGGATATTATTGGGTTCGAAAGTGGCGCTATTTTGCCATGTTGTGGAGGGATCGTTTTTCAAGATGGCAACTTTTCCGCTTTGGGAAAAATAGGGGTCATCTTCCTTGGGTGAGAATATCTCGAAAAGTCGATGGTCAACCCACCAAAAAATGAAAAGAAAATGAAAGATGACACATTGGTAATCCTTTTTCTGTGCAGTTTGAATACCTGTGAGATTTCTGAGTATTTTTAAAAGAATTTTGAAGTATGCGCATTTAGCACAAGTGTCTATGGGAATTTTTTTGCAGGGTTGCACCCTGGAATGAAATGTTTGTCACCGTGAGAGGGCGACAAATTACAATAAATATGGTCTTTGCGGACTGCTTCTCGGCAAGACGGTTATCGGCAATTATGTACCTCTCTAAGGGGTTTCCTGGCAAGGCACATGCAGGTTCTTAGATCTTTCTTGAAATAGATACTCCGAACCAGAGATCAGGGGGAAGGGGAGAAAAAAAACTACACAGAACGTTCTTTTCGATTTACTTTATTACTTTGTTCAAACTACTGCATTACTTTATACAGCAAGGAATTAAAATGGACCACATGGAAATATACAATGATGATCTCACATATACAATGATGATCTCACTGCCTAGTGCTCCTTTTGTCTATTTCATTCATTTAAACAATCGCGTGTATTTGATGTGATCTTTCTGAAGCTGGTGTTTCACATGCACAGCGGGGTAGCCACGATTATCACGTGATGGCTAATCGAACGCTCTCGTGTATGTTTTACTTACATGTGCAAGCTACTCGAACGTACTCCATATCAGCCGTAAGTATAGCTTTTCCCGGCCACTTTACGAATTTTTCTAACCATTTTCATTATCAGCCATTCAATTTGCGTTATTTTTACACGTGATCAAAATGAAGGTTTCTTTTTAATTTGGGGGCATTCATTTTCATTTTCAAGCACCCCAGATTTTGCTCCGAATGTTCGTTTTCGTTTCAAGGCATTCTATTTGGTTTTAGTGCATTCAATACTTACTTTGTAGCATTCTTAAATAAAGTCTTTTAAAAAGTTTGATAATTGACGCATTCAAAGTAGCGAACGTCGGTGCGCCTATAACGTATGACCATGCTTTCCGTTTCTTATTCGTTCATGGGCAATCACTTTCATCGTTTGGTCATTCAAGCTAATGAGATATTGGAATTGATATTTTTCCTATTTCCCTCCGAGGTTGATGTTTTCCCCGAAATCTTGGTAACTGTAAAAATGTATAAATTAACCAATTAACTGTTATGAGGTAAACAAGATATATGCAATGAAATGATTTTTTTTTTCACTGTTGATCTTTTCTACTTGATTAAACGTTGCAAGTATATTTACGTTGACGATTTCTTGACGTGCAGGACATCGGGGCATTATGTTTGGCAATGGTTTTACCATCGGGAACACGTCTCTTGGGAAATTTCTCAAATGTTTTCATAGGCCACTTCCATGAGACGATCACAGTTCCACTCCTTTAGGTTTATTCAAGCGTATGTCTGTCTGAACACCTATGTAAAGGGCCCATGCAAGGTAATTTTTCAAAGCAAACCTTGAAAATACATCTTTGTATCACATTTTAACCTTATTTTCAAGTTTTATTGTTCCATTTTTAAAGGCATTTTGGTGCCTTTTCCGTTTACACGGCTATTTCAGCACAAACAGTTGCTAGCATTTTGGATATTTTGCTGTCATGAATTTGTTTTCTTTGGTGATTCTTTTTTGCGATGGTACATGGTAGTAAGCCAATGAGCATCCCCTTTTCAAAAACGTTTTCAAATAGCACATTTTGGGTTCACAATTTGAACAGAAAACCCCTAAATCTGAACAGTGTCTTCCTGAAATGGCATAACAGCAACAGCAACAGTCCGGAAAAGCATGGACACTTTCAAATGTTTAAAGAATATTATTAAGTGCACTTTGCAATAAGATTAACCAAAAAAGTATATCAAATATATAGTTTTCATACAATTCAAGAATAGTAGAAAGTTGCACAAAATGTGTTCCTCGGGAAAGTTCATTGCAGGGACCCTTTAGTTAAGAAGGAGAGGCTTGCTTCTACGGATTGAAGCCGTCAGGTATGATTGATGGTGGCAGCGAGTAGGTGGGGAGTCCAACCTTCAAAACCGTCATTCTTTAGTGTCTCACCCCGTGCATTTGGGAGGGGACACCGTCTAAAGACCCCCCAAACTTGACTTTTCATTAAAATATCGCGCACAAGCACGGTTCCAGCGCGAAAAGGTAGTATTCGATTAGTATTTAATAACTAGTGTTAAATGACCAATAACTTAAGAATGAGAAATCCCGTGCGTTCCATGCTTAAGAATGGCCTAATTAGCGCTAAGTTTGACCGTTAATTAGAATATTGAGCACATGTGCGAAACCTTCACTTAAAGCTAATTAACGTGACTAAAATGTAAGATCCACAACTTAAGAATGGATACCTCCCAGCATTTGTGCTTAAGAACGAGTTAAAGTTCCATAATTAGCCGCCTGTTAATGGAATAAATTATGTAGGTGTTTAATTAGACATTAAAAATTTCACCCAGTGCAGATTGGCCCTCATTGAATTTAGAAAATCGTAGATTTTGGTTCTCAAAGGGCCTGCCCGGCATTACTGTTATTTTTTTTTGTCTAAGTTCCCGTGGCGCTTTGCATGGTAATCATTATTTTTGATAGGAAGGGGTGTGAGGCTGCTGAAAAAAGAAGACTTTTTGACTCAAGTTTTCAGAATTTGGTCATCAAAATGATGTGAACATTAAATGTAGAGGAAATGGCAAATTCCCATCTCCCCAGGTGCCCCCCACTGAGAATTCATAATTTGCTGCTTGCCAAGGAAGTGTCTTTCTAAAGAATTATTAAAAACAAAGAGGAATACAGATGACTACCCCCTTACGTCACACTTTTGTTAAAAAGTGTGGATTCGGATCTACGAATATCTCTTACACTGGTCACAAAGTGTGGATTCAGAGGAATCTTTAGTAAAGTGTGGATTCGTAATTACGAATCCACACTTTGAACACGTCGAACTATTGCTCTCCATAATGAGCATGAATAGGACCGTCTGCGTGAAAATTTGCTTTCAGAAAATTGCAACGCATCTTCACCGTCAGATTTTCCGCCGTCACTGCAAAATCTATTTTTTAGTCAGAATGAATCGTCGTCTGAACTATCCATTTTGACGTAAGGAGCCTATACACACAAAATGACTTGGTTTTACGGGTGTGGCAATACACATGCTGAACACGCCAGGAAAAAATGTTGCAACCTGACGCCACTTCCGCGCTGGTGTACAAAGTCTATGGAGAGTCATTTCAAGTATTTCCTAACAAAATTGGAAGCATTTCTTAGTCCCAGATTCATGTCTTATCGTCATTTCTGCAACGAATGGCCTTCATTGAGATGATATATAAAGAAAAAGTGGCGTCAGGTTGCAACATTCTTTCCTATACTTCTGTTGACGCAATCGCAGAATACGCTCGCAAGTGTGGATTCTTAATTTACGAATTCACGAGGCACGAACGAACCCACACTTTCTCGTGTATTCTCCTGAACTTAATGACCTACCTTAGCCGCACAGCTTTATAAAATGCGAATAAACTAATACGAAAAAAGGAGCGACCTGGAGCGCCAAAAGAGGTCCAGCCCATCTCCCTGCTTTTCAAATTTGCAGCACTTGTGGTGGCCTGGAAATTAAGGGGAAAAGATGTTGGTCCGCCCTCGGTGCCCCCTCGGTGCCTGCTGAAGGGCCTTAGTAAAGTGTGGATACTATGTGCTCTGTACAGTGGTGCAATCCGAGGAATTTGGCCTTTTTCCCCTGAATTTGGAGTAAGTCATGATCAGAAGTTGATTTTATCATTTGTTATTTTTTTTTTGGTTAGTTTTAAATTTCTTTGCGGTACTCGTCATCAAGGGGGGGGGGGGGGTCGTTTGAAACCCCAGAAACACCCCCAGCGTACGGCCTGATTATAAATTTAAAGGCCCTAACTCAGAAGGAGCCAGTAAGAAATTGTATCTCACAGTGTATTGTAGCAGTTCTGATTGATATTTATTTTATAGGCTTAATTAGTACAGTGACTGCAATAAATTTGCACCGTGTAAAAATGTTTAATTGTTTCGGGTTTTTTCCGGTTTATTTTGGGTTTTTCCAAAATGGCTTAACCGACCCTACCCGACCCAAAAATTGCAAACGCAAAACCGAAACCAACCTGACCCGACTGAAATGATGGACAAACCGACCCAAACCGAGGTCGTTTTCGGGTCGTTTTCGGGTCGGGTTAGCACAACCCTAATACGGACACGAAGTCTCTTTTTCAATTTTGGTACGTGTTTTCTAACTCTGATTGCCCATTTTATGCATATTCAATGCCTTTTCTCTCAACAACACAAACCTTGTGCTGATTTACGCCTCACCTACTACTGGAGACTTTCAGTTTGAAGCGATGGTTCCCTCTCATTTCTTCCAGTTTGCGCTGTACACGTGCGTACGAATACATGTATATTGATTATGGCAAGTGACCTTACCACAATGATGTGCGATTATGTGTTTCCCTCATTTTTTTTCTGAAAGAGATCAGCTGCTACGTACCAGCGCCAATGGACATGGTTTGTTTGTTTGGCTGTCTGTTGTTGTTGTTGTTGTTGTTGTTGTTGTTGTTGTTGTTGTTGTTGTTGTTGTTGTTGTTGTTGTTGTTGTTGTTGTTGTTGTTGTTGTTGTTGTTGTTGCTGCTGTTGTTTTTTGTTGCTGTTGTTGCTGTGGTTGCTGTGGCTGCTGTGGCTGCTGTGGCTGCTGTGGCTGCTGTGGCTGCTGTGGCTGCTGTGGCTGTTGTGGCTGTTGTGGCTGTTGTGGCTGTTGTGGTGTTGTGGTGTTGTTGTTGCTGCTGCTGCTGGTGCTGCTGCTGCTGCTGCTGCTGGTGCTGATGCTGCTGCTGCTGCTGCTGCTGCTGCTGCTGCTGCGCTGCTGCTGCTGTTGTTGGGTTCCGTTTGAAAATTTTTGTTGGAGTCTTCTTAATGTTTTGGTGTTTGTTTTGTAAACAATAATCTACAGAATTATATGCTAATATTGATCGTAAAGTTAAAAAGTGGCTATCTCAAGACAAACGCTTGGTGGCACCCTACCAATAAGTAGCTGGAATTGGGGATCACATCTCGCAACTTGGCCAAAAAAATGGTTTTGACAGGGGAGCTAGGGCACTCATGTTGGATGAGCTGCTATAATGAGCATCGACGGAATTCATTACAAACATGCCGACAGTTTCCCCCAGCACCACTTGCTACTACTGGAGACGTTCAGTGCGGGGGCGTTGGTTCCCTCTTTGAAACCTTCCAGTTTGCGCTGGACACGTGCGTACGAAATAAATATGATGATGGCAAGTGACCTTACCACAATGATGAGCATCGACGGAATCTATTACAAACTTGCCAACAGTTTCCCCAAGCACCACTTGTGATAGTTAAAAACGTTAATTAAACTGTAATAAAAACAATCGGGACGCTAGACAACCAAATGGAAATATAAAAATTGGATAAACACAATAATGACATTTGGCTCCACCGGTAATAATTTTTATTAAATACCATTAAAGATAATTTTAAAAAACCACTCCAGTCTCAAAATGTAATGAGAACGTAAGATATACTGGTAGTCAATTTTAAGAATTGTCAATCGTTAGCTGAAGTGCCTTTTTTTCTCGCACGGTTAAGAACATTTAGGAATATTGGTGAATTCACTGGGCCAGCAGAGTTCATAAAAGACGCTGTTCGTGATTTGTCACTCCGTACTGTGCGGACCGACCACCGTGTGTGCTGCTGTTCCCACCGCCGTCTGCAATCCCACAACCACTTCGCCATGACGCGCTGGATCCTGGCGCTGCTTCTGTGCGCCTGTTTGGCAGTCGCCCTTGCGGATGATGCCGAATTCAAAGGTAATTGCAACGTGTTTGCTACGGTTTAAATCCTCTATCGGAACGGCTGAAATGCCTGCATAATCGTTTAAGCATGTTATCGTTACTTTATTAATGTATAGAGCAAAGTAATTTCGGCGCGAGTTTTTGAAGAAGGAATGACAAGTACTAGACACAAAATTAATTGGTAAATCGCAGGAACAGATGAAATTTTTTGATATAGTACAAGCAAGTCCATATTTAAGACCATCTACAGATTTTTCCACACATGGTTAATGGGGCAAGGATGCAGAGCTTAATGCACATGTACAATCAAATATTCTTTGTGACTTGAGTGTGGTTCTGAACAGGTGGAAACGCGAGTTCGTACAGTCGTCAGCAGACTGGCCCTAAAATATAAACTGGCCCTTGGGATGGACACAAATGCTTGTAATGTTTCAGTGAACCTGTAGGCCCGAAAGATACAATTGCCTTCACAGTTTTAGATTTCCTTGTATATTAAGTCGATTCACTTTGCATTTCTGTGATGCAGGCTTTCATCTTGTTCGTCTTGGCCTAATTCAGTACCCTAGCCCTAGTGCATAGCCAAGGGCAATTTCAATTGCCCTTGTTTTAGAACATGTTTTCAGCTTGGCCCCATTGGGCTCGAACAGAAATATAAGCTGAACTGTAAAACTGTGTGTTTTACGGAAATTGGTTGACAATGTTCTTTTCAATGTTTTCAGATGGAGCCATTGTTATCGACGACGAGGTTTGCGAGAAACTGGCGGCTCAAGTGAAATCAGAAAAGTGAGTCCCAATTTTCAGTCCGTGGAGATGTTAAGCTTAACTACCAAGATTTAAAGTTTCTATACTTTGCTGGGAAAAAAATCATCCAAAGTAAAGGCCTATCCTTCTCTATGTTTCAATATAAGAAATTGCTGACTACTGTACTGTCAGCCGTCAAAATGGCAGCCGTCAATTTTGAATCATGTGACTTCCTTCGTGAATCTGATTAGTTAGCATAAATATGGCGTCCCGTGAAATCGGAGTGCTGCCCGCACACCTTGCCGGTGACTTCGGATCCGGTGAAATCGGATGCAAAAAAAACCCAAACATGTTTGATTTCATCAGGTCGCCATGTGCACGGTCAGATCAGTCTGAATTTTCAGCGCACGCCCCTGCACGATGGCCCGATGATCCGATGAACCGGTAAAATCGGAAAGGTGTGCGCCGGGCTTTACCACACCCTATCCGTGCCCTCAACTGCCCCATACTGCACTGGTTTACGGTACATCACTGTTACAACTACGGGAAATCTGAGCAATTAGAATGTGGTTAGTCGTTATTTTTGGAGCCCGAAAGTGACCGTATTAACTCCGGCATATATTTGCAGCCTCTGATTCCTGTAATCATGTAAATCCTGTAATACCGTAATTACATTGACCGTAAATGTTTCAGGAATTAACCCTGCTGGCAACCATGACTAGCCGCCATGTTAAAATGTAAAATTATAATCCAAAATAGAATCCTGGGCGTCAATTCTTATTTGGTAAAGATTGCTAAAGGGGAGAACGACTTGTGTTCCTTCTCTCATGTAAAAAAGGAAACTCTGATTCACTTATTTTTTACTTGTGAGATTTCTTTATTGTTCTGGACCCAAATTAGGGATGGGATTAAGAAGACTTTGAATATTAATGTGTTTGTAGATTGCGAGATGATTTTATTTGGCACAATTAACAAAAACTGGAGCGCCCTCAACTTAAGTCTTCTCATATGCCGTAACCATAATTACAAAATGAAGATGAATGGTAGCAAACCGTCTCTTTTAGTATTTAAGAATGAGCTAAAACGATACTCGGAAAAATTTATATTTACTAGAAATGGTGATCGTGCTAAACTTAATGCAAAATGGGACCCATTCTCTCTTTTATGTAATGATAAATATATCACTTGTTTATACTTATTGTAAAACGCAAAAGAAACGTTTCTTCTGAATAAATAAGTTTCCCCTGACGAAAAAAAAGTAAAAATGTTACGCAGCTCGGCTTCCGGAACCCTCGTGCAGCCGGCCCGCCTGCGATTTTGTTTCCTAAACAAAATCAGCATTACATGGTTGTTGAGCGCGCTCTACGACCCTTTAATGATACGTATGCAGGTATATAGGCTTAGGCCTAATATATTATCAGGAATTTCCAGGATTAGCCGAGCGGTTCGATAGCTCAGTTGGTGGAGTCGTGGTTTTGTACCGCGAGTGATCCCCGCGATGTGGGTTCGAAACACCATTTTACCCGATTTTGTTTCTTTTCTTATCTGAGACTTGTTAAAGGGAAATAAAGTTCGAATTTCATTACGTTCGAATTCTTTTTTTTTCTAATTTTATATTGTTTCACGGTTTAAGAGAATTACAGTCCAAAACGTCATAGCATTCACCATATGCGGATGTCCGTTTGGGGAAAAAAATCGCGGCCCTCCTATGGGCATTTTACACTGGGTTGGCCTTTCTCTTGCTATGATTTTTGGCAGAATGATACGCTCATGTTGTGTTATATTGGTATCCTTCTAGAAAAATTGGGGAAGAATCACTTGAGATGGGTAAAACGAATTTCATTTGCGACCTTTCACATCCGGCATTTTCGTTTCTATATTCTCCTAATTCGTTCACGCTTGTTTTCACATTGCGTACTTGCTCGAGAACGAGAATGTATAACTACGCGAAGATTTACCTACCTACAGCCGATGGGTTCTAGATTTAGTCGGGCTGGCTTGAGTACAGTCCAGTATCAGCGGTCACTTAACAAAATGTCACACGTAAATGCTAATGAGTCCTTTCAAAAAAGGTTTTCTGAGGTTTCAAAAAAAATTACCATCAAAGACATCTTTTTACCTAATGACCGTCACAAAATGATTTCATAAAATTTCATCTATGAACGAGTACACCGAGTCTAGTTACACTTGTCCGTATTCATTTTAGATATTAAGAAGTGGGAGGTCAGTTTTTGACACGCGGATATTTCTCTTTCATGCAAGTCAGGCGATTTATCAGTTTCCATGAATTGGTACGGTATTCTTACAAAGGTCTTTTTCTTGACGATTTTCTTGCAAAATCACTGTACTAAAAATAATCGCCAATTCTACGAAATGTTGTGCACGTTACTTTTTCTATTCAAGGGTTTCGTAGGCGCCATTAGGGGCTGAGTTTGAGGCTCTACTTCCAGTACAACTTCCTGGACGAGCAAGACCTCGAGCAATTAAAATTTGGACGTACATTTCAGACAGTTAATGAGCTGATGTTGGAAAAGTGAATGTGATACACCACTGATAATGTGACATGTAATGAGTAGAAAGCAATTTACAAACCAAATTAAGGTACCACCACCTTAACGACCCGTGTACATGTGCATCATGTGGTCGGACGTACGTTGAATTTTACGGAACTGCCCTTGTACGGGAATTTGATGGCACCCATGGGGTAACAGGATATTTTACAGTGTGGGTCAGCGCCATGGGCGTTGCAAGGAGGGGAGGGGAGGCAAGGGGGGGGGTCTTGGAAAAAAGAGGTGCGAAACCATATTGCTGTTAATTTGATGGGGGGTAGGGCAAACGCTCCCCTGCTCACGCTCGGAAATATGATAAATTGAGAATATAATGAAAAAGTAAAGGAATGTTTGGGGAAAATTTGCTTTGCCCCACTGAAAAAAAATCCTGGCGACGCCCATGGTCAGCACGGGAGGGGGAGGCAAAGGACCATTGATTGGCGCATTACATTGTATCCCTTTCATCTTACAGAAAAAGAACCCGAACTTTTAAGGATCTTAGACAAAAAGCCTTCTTCTTAAGCCCGGTTCATACTTCATGCGAATGCGAAGCGAATTTGACGTCATGAAACATTCGCTTCGAAATTCGCCCGAGTTGAAAAAAAATTCGCAATCGCTTTCGCCTTCGCGCAGAGTATGAACCGGGCTTTTTAGATTCTAAACTTCATATTGATTTACTCTTACAGGAGCATATTGGGTGTTGGCCCCAAACACTGGTACTGTAACCCGACACTTGAGAGGAAAAAAGAGCAGTACTGTACCTGTTCAGTCGTGCCGAGGGAAAGAGATGCCGACCGAGCAGGTAGGTCCGAGGCACTGTTTTATACAAATCTAAACAGCTCACTGGCCTAGCGCGCCGTATATACACACATTTGGAACTACAGGCTGGTTCCGAATCTCTTAATTCGAATATGGCACGGGAACCAGTTTTACCACCCTCATCCTACATTTATAATAAAATAATATAAAATAACAATTAAAGTACATGAACACAAGTCTTTCTAGTATCTCGACTGAATGAAGTAACTTGTACTATTTTTAAAAACAAATTAACTTAAGTAAAAAGGTAAAGATTGCGGTTAAGTAAGGTACTAGAGCGCTAACTCAAGTACAAAGTAATGCCTGATGGGCGCATCCATGTTTATACACAAACCTATGGAGAACTAGCAATTTTGTACGGCTTTTGTACGGCTATTTGCATATCTACGTTTGTATTCCATACCAGTGCGTTATCGAAGCCGATACGCCCAAAACCGAAACGCACGATCAGCAAATGAGCGTGTCATTTTGCTCTACGCAAACAGCGCAACACGTGCGCGTATTCGCTGCAGATGCTTTTTGCCGTGACTTTTTTTGAACTGTCATGACGCGCTTAAGTTGTTTGCGCAAGTTCTACTTGCGCGTTGCATTTAGGGTACACTTTCAAAATTCAATCCATCCGATTTCATTACGTTCTACAAACACGCGCATGAATTCAAAATGTCTGCGCCCAGGACGGCTTCAAAGCGTCTCCGCGCCCAAGAATGAGGAGTTAGCGCTCTAGTAATTTAATATAGCTCTATGGATCTCCCCAACTCTTCCTTTCATGCCTGTGAGGGGTTACTTGTGCACGAAGCCACTAGGCCTACTTGCCCATTCACAAGGATAACTTGCTTTTTCTTTCTCGTTTCAGAGTTTCTGGAGCCAGAGGAGGCTGGCGGGTTCCTGAATCGTTCCAAGCGAGATCTCAACCACGAGTGTTGTGACGAGGGTTGCGTCTGGGAGGAGGTCGAGGAGCATTGCCATTAGAGACATCGAGACAAGAGATTGGTTCTCATTTTGAATTAAATTAATCATTTACCTTTCAATTTCTTTCGAGCGGGCAACGTTTACTTCGCTGTTACAAATCTACTCAAATATTATTTGCAGAAATGAAGATTCCTGCTGTCCAGAGAATTGTGTTTACTGAGATGTAGCCAAGTTTTCCGCCATCTTTGCTTCATACTATTTCATTCACCGGGACAAACAAATTGTGTCAAAAACATAAGCAATCCTCTTCTATCGACTACTTGAAGAACTAAACATGCCTTCCTATGAATTTTTTGATTATTTGTGGTGATGGGCGATTAGCATATTTTATTTGTACAACTGTAAATACAACCGCAGCAAATGTTTATATTTGGAATGTAAATAAATACTTTTACACAGACCTGAATATACTGCGTTTGTGCGTGAGTTATTCTCAGTGTGTGATGTTTTATCCCAAAGACTGTACAAGAGTTCATGATTTAAGAATGCCGACTTAAACTGACATGCAAACCAACAGACAGATTATCTGAGAGATAACTGAATTTATTGACGGCAAATGGTTGAAGGTTCACTACGTGGTGTCGCATTCTCTACTGCAGTTCGTAAAACACGGACATTTTACGAGTTTGTAAAATCTTCTAAAAATCCCCATTGCAGGAGTAATAGTCAAATGTATGTCTGCCGCATTATCACTAGATGCTTGCTTGTGCGTACAAAGTACAAACTGAATATTTTTTATTAGAACAGGTTAAATTGTACTCGTTAATTAAAAACAAACAGATCTCCAGCAGGCCTTGAATTGCAAGTTAACAAGGGGCACTCCATGATCAGTTTGCAATTTCCCCTTTAAGCACAATTGTGGTAATTACTTTCTGGGTTTTATTTACAGACAGCAAACCTAATTAAGTACAGATGCAATTGATTATTTAAAGTATTTGCTGCACTGCTTCACCACAAAAAAAATATCATATACTTTTATGACAGAGAAACTAATTAAAACTCATTTGCCAGAAAAAGGAGCGGGTACCATAAAGTGCAAGCCTGCAGAAGAGTGAACTGTGCTAAACGCTGTTAAATTTCGTGGTTTATAGCACAGAAGATTTCATTGTCAAAGTTCTACGTGATCATGAGTCTTGGCGCTTACCCCGTTCATTAAATCAACCTGCCTGTGGCGGTTGCAGTTCGTATTTAATTCACAAAGTGTGCTTTACTCAGAGTGTTCAATCAGTAACTTGGTAATGTCCACTCTGTCTATGCACTTTGTTCATTGTAGCTGCTCCCTTGATTTATTCTGTTTATTCTGGTTCATGTATTCACAGAATCACAGGTTCACAGGTTCCCGGATCATAAATCACAGATCACGTAAAAACTGCAATAAAGCAAAACAAAACTAACTCTTAAAAGAATACAAACAACTAAAGTACAAGATATCTTATAATAAAGGAGAACTGATCTACAATGTGCAACAGAAATAGTAGCAATAAACCCTAGAAAATATAAGGTCAAAGGTCATCTGAACAGTAATAATCAACTCATACAAATAATGTCATGAAAATCTGGCCCTAAATTCACCTAATCGCACCCTTTGGCACAAAAACTGTAATCATATACAGTTCTCCAATAATCAAACTTTCTTCACCTCTGTCCTCGGGTCCTGGGGTGGAGGGATGATCAAAATATACTGGCAAGAGTATGAGTCAAGAATTTAGAACAAAGACAATGTGTCATCAGTAAGGACCATGTATCTGGTTGCAGACCAGTAAATCGGTCCGAAATTGCCTGCGCCGGACAAATCACGATTTGCATGCCCTCAAAATCTTCAGTATTTCAGCATGCTGTGGGCCATGAACTTGAGGGTTTGTAAAAAATATGGGTGAAAGCCGTACAAGGACTGTGAGCTTGTAGATCCGTTCCATTTGGATGAAATTGGGGCCCTTAAGCGCTCTATTTTGCAATGGAGTGTATAGGCATCGGGGTTTTTTTCAACATGGCGATGGGTTTCAGGACTATTTTCAGGGGTGATCATCTTCGGATGGAAATTTCTACTAAAAATTCATCAGTTAACCCCCAAAAATTGAAAAGAAAATAAAAGATGATGAAATAAGCTTTAATTTGATGTGTGTCTCGAACACCTTTGAGAGTTGTGAGTATTTTCCCCGAATTTCAGAAGTGTTAGCATTTACCATTGGGTCTATGGAAGTTTATTTACTGGTCTGCAACCATTAATAAATGGCTTCTTCCATCGTTCGTTTTTGATGAAATATGAGTCATCCATCCTTCCTCGTGCCTTGCAAATGGTTTGGGGGATTTTTTCGAAACCTCGCTTCTTTATAGGTAGCAGACCAGTAAATCGGTCCGAAATTGCCTGCGCCGGCCAAATCACGATTTGCATGCCCTCAAAATATTCAGTATTTCAGCATGCTGTGGGCCATGAACTTGAGAATTTGTAAAAAATATGGGTGGAAGCCGTGCAAAGGACTGTGAGCTTGTAGTTCCGTACAATTTGGATGAAATTGGGGCCCTTAAAGCGCTCTATTTTGCAATGGAGTGTAGGCATCGTTTTTCAACATGGCGATGGGCTTCAGGACTATTTTCAGGGGTGATCATCTTCGGATGGAAATTTCTCCTAAAACGTCATAAGTTAACCTCCCAAAAATTATTTTAAAAAGTAAAGATGATGAAATAAGCCTTAATTTGATGTGTGTCTCGAATACGTTGGAGAGTTGTGAGTATTTTTCCCGAATTTCTGAAGTGTGAGCATTTACCATTGGGGTCTATGGAAGTTTATTTACTGGTCTGCAACCTTTAATTTCAAAATGGCTTCTCCCATCGTTCGTTGTCAAACGTGTGCGCTTGCGCGTTATATTCCACGACAGTGGTTTTTGAGGGGGGGCGGGACCTGGGGGGGGCAGCGTTTCAAAAGGGATCACCAATGGCGGTTCCGCAACAAATGCGCCCAAAATCTGAATGGGGCCCCTTAGACCTTCGTCTGAATACAGCAATTTCGTGCGAACAAGGGGGGTGGGGTAATTTGGGGTTCGTAGAAGCAAAAACTCAATTAACTCCTGTTGGGGGCGCCCTACAGAAAGTAGCCGCAAACAGAGGGCTTGTTTTCAGGCCAAAAATCGCAATCCAAGATTTTTTCTGCCATTTTTTTAATGTAATATGAGTCATCCATCCTTCCTCGTGCCATACAAATGGTTTAGGGGAATTTTTCAAAACCTCGCTTCTTTATAGGTTGCAGACCAGTAAATCGGTCCGAAATTGCCTGCGCCGACCAAATCACGATTTGCATGCCCTCAAAATCTTCAGTTTTTCAGCATGCTGTGGGCCATGAACTTAAGGGTTTGTAAAAGATATGGGTGGAAGCCGGGCAAAGGACTGTGAGCTTGTAGTTCCGTTCAATTTGGATGAATTGGGGCCCTTAAAGCGCTCTATTTTGCAATGGAGTGTAGGCATCGTTTTTTCAACATGGCGATGGGCTTCAGGGCTATTTTCAGGGGTGATCATCTTCGGATGGAAATTTCTCCTAAAAGGTCATCAGTAGACTCCCTGAAATTGAAAAGAAAATGAAAGATGATGAAATAAGCTTTAATTTGATGTGTGTCTCGAACACCTTGGAGAGTTGTGAGTATTTTCCCCGAATTTCTGAAGTGTGAGCATTTACCATTGGGGTCTATGGAAGTTTATTTACTGGTCTGCAACCTTTAATTTCAAAATGGCTTCTCCCATCGTTCGTTGTCAAATGTGTGCGCTTACGCGTTATATTCCACGACAGTGGTTTTTCCTGGAGGGGGGGGGGGCGGGACGTGGGGGCAGCATTTCAAAAGGGGTCACCAATGGCGGTTCCGCAACAAATGCGCCCAAAATCTGAATGGGGCCCATAGACCGTCGTCTGATCACAGCAATTTCGAGCGAACAAGGGGGGGGGGGGTAATTTGGGGTTGGTAGGAGCAAAACTCAATTAACTCCCGTTGGGGGCGCCCTACAGCAAGGTAGCCGCAAACAGAGGGCTTGTTTTCAGGCCAGAAATCGCTGTCAGAGATTTTTTTTTCTTGCAATTTGTTGATGAAATATGAGTCATCCATCCTTCCTCGTGCCGTACAAATGGTTTTGGGGAATTTTTCAAAACCTCGCTTCTTTATAGGTTGCAGACCAGTAAATCGGTCCGAAATTGCCTGCGCCGGCCAAACCACAATTTGCATGCCCTCAAAATCGTCAGTATTTCAGCATGCTGTGGGCCATGAACTTGAGGGTTTGTACAAAATATGGGTGGAAGCCGGGCACAGGACTGTGAGCTTGTAGTTCCGTTCAATTTGGATGAAATTGGGGCCCTTAAAGCGCTCTAGTATCTTGCAATGGAGTGTAGGAATTGTTTTTCAACATGGCGATGGGCTTCAGGACTATTTTACAGGGGTGATCATCTTCGGATGGAAATTTCTCCTCAAAGTCATGAGTTAACCCCCAAAAAATTGAAAAGAAAATGAAAGATGATGAAATAAGGTTTAATTTGATGTGTGAACATTTACCATTGGGGTCTATGGGAGTTTATTTACTGGTCTGCAACCATCTATGGTAGAAATGAAGAGCGCCCTCAAGAGAAGTGAATAGCGCCACCAAGTGGCAAGCTCAGACTCACTCACCACCAGTTATACTGCCTATATTTTGATTTTCCTTCATGAACTTTTAGCGCTTCTCGTTAAGTCCGAACATTTTAGACAGAGCGACATCAGTTGTTCATAATGAAACTTATGCGAAGTTCACTTCAAAAATATTTACGTGCACATACCCTGAGGTTTTGAGAATTACATGCTAATTCCACCTCCTTCTCACCTGGGCTCGATATTATTTGCTCCGCCATTTTGTTTCCCGACATGCCTTGCGCGATCATAATGTACCTTTTCCCGGGTAAACTGAAATCGCTGTGTGGGAGATTTTGAATGCTTTCACACTTGTGTAACACGTTTCAGAGGCGTTTCATTTCCTATCCACATTCGTGTACATTTTTGAGGGTCAAGTCTCAAGTTGGATTCTATTTAAAACTCCGGTCACTTCAACGCCTGAATTAAAATTCTCTTGAAGACACCGGCCGTCACTGATAATTACCTGGCTACAGCTACAGCTGGCAATAACGCATGCGCTTATGGAAGCCGCGAGAATCCGCTCTCACAGACGCGCGTCTTAACGTAGCCAAGTCATTGGGACGCGGCCAAACATTTTTCTTATAACTTGTTTCCTCTCACATCAGAACCACCTGTAGTTGAGTATGTATGGGGGACCCCCCGTGCACCCCCCCCCCCCAACTTTCACCAATTTGTTTGGTGCCTTTTAGGGTCCTAAAACACATTTAGGATGTTAACAGTAAAACAAAATCCGATGCGAAGGACATATCCAAGATGGCGGCCA